AGATTTTCTATGATTTTAATGTGTCTTAACAGGTTGTTGAGTCTGGAGTGCAGAAGAAGAAACAAAATGTATATACAGTATTTATTGAGGGTGCAAATGTTTACTACTTGGCTATTGGCTTTCCTTTTACATCAAGATTTTCAATTCTCTACTGAGTTTGGAGTTCTAAAAAAAATCTGTTGCAAGAAATGCATGAGAACGTGCATCTTGATCGAGGATGGTAGGCTGTGGTTTGTACCGTAATTTCCAGACTATTGAGCGCACCTGAATATAAGCCACGCCCACCAAATATAAAAATAATAATAATTTTGTACATGTATAGGCCGCTTTTTATAAGGTCAAGGTTCTTTGTCACATGTGGTACATGAGGTGGAATGAAATTGTGTACACAGGGTCTCAGTTACATCCAACAATAGCAAAAAAAAGTGTAAAAATAAACGGTAAATAAGGATCTAAGATAAACACTAAACGAACGGAACGATACGATAAAAGATCTAAGATATACGCTGGTCGCCAATAGTGCAAAACAAAACGCTGAACAACAGCGGCACGAACATGAGTCTTTGTGGGTGGATGAGTACAAATGAATGAACACAGCAGCATGAAATGATCAACAGCATGAGATCAGCAGCATGGATAATCAGCAGCACATAACAATCAAAGTTGCATTACAGTGATTTATTTATTTTTTTTAAGCTGCGGATGTCCACGTTGTAACATGAGATATTTACACAGAAAGTGTTTTTAAACTTTAATTAAATACGTACCGGTAAAATACACAAATACTTACAGTAAATGTTTTTTTTCTGAGCAGTGCCTGTAACACTGCTGGTTTAAAAAAAAAAAAAGCAGTAGCCCACCAGGAAGTCAATAATGGCTATCCAACAATTTTCAGTCAGGTCATCTGGACAGTTTCTTTTTTTGCTGAAATGTTTCGCCTTCCGGATGGAGCAAAAGTCGCTCTTCGCATGCGGCCAGTTATGGTAAACGATTTCTCACCGCTAGTCATCCAAGCCTCCCACTTTCGAGCTCAGAGCGCCACATTAACGCACGATTCACTTATTTCGAGTGGCTGCAAATTCTTTGTTGTGTACGACGGAGCTTTAGGGCCGTGCTAATAAAAAAAATAAAAAAAAAATTACATTGCTAAGCTAAGAAAAAAAAAGTAAAAGCCATAAAATTATGAGAATAAAGTTGAATAAAGTCAATGTTACAAGAATAAAGTCGTATGAGACTTTTAAAAAAAATTACAGTTCTCGTTGATTTATTTATTTATTTTCCCATGAGTCGGAGCCACAATGCGACCTGTCAACTATCTCCTTATTTGTAAAACCAATACCAAAGTATAACTTAACAAGATGCTCAACATTCTTCATTTTACCGCAGTTAAAATGCAGTAAACCTGCTGCTTTATCGTGTCGGAGTTAGGATAATATTACGACTCATTTAACTTTGGATCAGTCATTTGCTGACACGCCTACTGGAGTGATTGACAGGTCGCGTTGTGGATCCGACTCTTGGAAGAAAAAAAATTTAAATGAACGAGAGCGGTAAAAAAAAAAGTCTCGTTCGACTTTATTCTCATAATACTACAACTTTATTCTCGTAATTTTATGACTTTTTAAGGTTTTTTTCTTAGCGTGGCCCTAAAGCTCCACCGTAGTTGTGCCCCCA